TGAAATTTTTGTCGATGTCAAGATGCTGTTGTAAGTCGCAATACTGCACGGGTTTGTGTCGATACCCGGTAAAAACTGCAGCTAGTGGCACGGCGAAGGAACTTGACAGCGCTCGGTGCGGCCGGCCGGCCGCCCTGCTCCACGATGAGGAGGTCGACCTTCTGGAGCCGTGGGCACGCCGCCGCGGCCTCCAGGCCGGGGAGCATTGGGCAGCGCAACATATGTAGGTTTGGGATGCAGGTGCAACTAGATGGCGGGGGCGTCATAGGGAAGTCCTGTATCGAGCTCTAACGCCACCTCCTCCAAGGAAGCCGAGTGCGCGGCCAGGACGAAGCTGCAGAAGGGAATCGATTGCGGGCTAAGGTGGCACGTAAGTCGGTAGAGCGGTGGACTGGGCGTGGATCATGGTTGACAGACCGGTTGGAAACGGCCATCCGTAGCTCCATGGGGACGTCAAGCGCCTCCAGCCCGGCCGTCTAAAACGCCTTCTGACTTTAACGCTCCTGGAAAGGTGTTAACTCACGCCTTTGTTTTACTAGTGCGTTTATTACACATGTGGCAAATGACGTGTATTGTGGGGTGGCAAAGGGAAGCTGCCGGGCCGGGCTGCAGGCGGCGGCGCACCTCCCCAGCGACGTCCTCGACCGCCTCCTCGTGCAGGTCGGTCTACGTCTCCGTCAGGGGGGCAGGGCCCCCGAGGCGTTGGCCGCGGTGGCGTTGAGCGCCGACTGCAGCGCCGGGTCCTTGTACTGCACCAGCACCACCAGGTACGTGATGGTGGAGCCGATCACCTGCCGCGACAAGTACGCCGTTCTTAGGAAGAGCTCGTACCCAGGTAGAACACAATCGTCAAAAACTAGTCAATGACCCTTACTTGACGTCAAAATGACCCCAATCTGGCTACATAGCCAAAGTAAGGTCATTGTGACATCATTTTGACAAACGTGTTCTACCTGGGACGCACCGTATACCCTTTTCTTCTCAGATTTTAGATGATGGCTAGCCACCCCCCCCCCTCCCTTCCCCCCACACACACGCACCGAGAGCAAGAAGCCGTGGTCCATGGTCGCCAGGCCGCCCATCGACAGGCTGATGCCGCGCTTGCTGTTGCGGAGGATGCGCTCCACCTGCGTACAGAGTGACAACGAACGACCATAGGTTGCCGTCAAGTGGAAGTGGTTTCAATTTCTGTTGTTTGAATAAAGGCGGGAAAGGGGGGCGGGGGGGGGCATTTACTCTTTATCTTCTCCCTGCTCCCCGCCCGATACACACCAGAAGAATCTCTCTCTCGGGCCAGCGGCTCGCGTCCACCGCTCCGAGCACGGACAGCGTTCTCTTCGACTGCAATCAAGAGAGCACGACTGTCAACGTCGAGGTGGTCCCGGCGCCCCCTTAGAGCGTCACACCCTCAAGCGCACTGACGACGACGCCGACCTCCTGGTAGAGCATGTCGCCCGCCATGGAGTGCGCCACGATGCGACTGGCGCCGTTCGCGAGGTTCATGCAGAGCGCGGCCAGCGTGCCGGCGTGCTGCGTGCCGAAGTTCTCCACGGAGCGGTAGACGACGAACGAGTCGGTGACGAGCTTGACGCGGTGCCTCACCGAGTTGCACGCCAGCGGCACGCCCATCGCGCCCGCGGTACCCAGCGCGCCCACCTGCAGGCAGGCGGGCAGTCCCGGCGCGCACGCCCGTCAGCTGGGTGGCCCACCTCCCGGGCGCCCGCCGCCCGTCGCACCCACCCACCTGGTCCGCGGTGAGCTCGTACTGGCGCGCGGCCGACTCCAGGACCAGCGGCCGCAGCTCCGGGACGACGTTGTCGACGTCCCCCAGGCGTGTGTTGACCTCCTGTAGGGGGAGAGGTCGAAAAATGACGAGAGACAAAGTCCGCTCGGCCGCTTTCTACAACATTGGAGGGTCAAGACATGGTGCCCTGGTGTAGTTAGGCGGTTGAATGCGTAACAGGGTCGTCTTCTGCACTCACGTGGAGCTTGTCCTGGGCACAGTTGCACAGGAGGAACACTAGCGAGTCGAAGCTCAGCGTGATGAACGAGGCCAGAAACTCGATGAAGTTGGCCAGGTTCCCTTTCCTCTGTGCCTGCCAGATGAGGGCCTGCTTTGAGGGCAGCAATCACAGATTGCTACGCGTTAGAATCACAGTCATAAGCTGGAAGGCTGCGATCGTAAAATTCTGTAAGGCCACATACACTGCAAAATGTTTCCAAAGAATAGGTTCGTATCGCAAACTATTTTCTTTGAAGCTTGCAAAGAATTTTCAAGCATTGCAACACGAACTTGTTCTTTTGTTGCAAACTGTTTCTTTGCAATAAGGATTCTGACAGCTTGCAAAGAACTTCTTTGCATTACGAACGAATTCTTTGCAATACAAAGCTCGCAAATACTTTGCAACGTTGCAAAGAATATAGTTTGCAAGCATATTACAGTGTAGGGGCCGTTCAGAAACCAACTGGACCAAAGGGAGGGGGTATATTTTTACCCCACCGGGTACAAATATCATGGGTCTCCTTGGACTCCAATGACTGTTCTGATCCTTTTTGGGACCCCAGAATATTCGGACCCCTGCATTGCGCTCGTCGTGGTTTCTGTACGGCGCCATCCGACATCCGACTGACGTGCTTGGCGACGAGCAGGCCGGCCATGGTGCTGGCGGCCGCGACGAACCAGCCGTGGAAGCGCAGGGGCGGCATGAACAGCCCGGCCACGTGCGGCGAGAGGCGGCGGAAGTTGACGGC